CGTTGGTGGAATTCTCCTATAATAACAGTTATCATTCTAGCATCAAGATGCCACCATTTGAGGCATTGTATGGCCGTAAATGCCGATCTTCTATTTGCTGGCATGAAATCGGTGAGTCCCACGTGATTCGCGCAACAGTGGATTCTCCAATCGTTGGTCCTGAGCTTATCCAGGAAACAACCGACAAAATCACTCAGATTCGCGATAACCTTCTCGCATCTCGTAGCCGACAAAAGAGTTATGCCGACAAGCGACGCAAACCGCTTGAATTTACCGTAGGTGACATGGTCATGTTAAAAGTGTCCCCATGGAAAGGTGTGGTTCGATTTGGACGCAAGGGTAAATTGGCACCACGCTACGTAGGCCCGTTTAAGATCATAAAAAGGATCGGACCAGTAGCCTACGAGTTGGATCTACCAACAGAGCTTAAGAAAGTTCACCCAGTATTTCATATAGCCAACCTCAAGAAGTGTTTAGCAGACGAGAACCTTCATGTTCCTCTCGAGGATATCCAAATCGACGAGACAATGCAATTTACCGAGAAACCCTTGGAAATTGTCGACCGAAAGGAAAAGCAACTCAAAAGAAGTCGCATTCCCCTGGTTAAGGTCAGGTGGCAGTCGGCACGTGAACCTGAGTATACATGGGAGCGTGAGGATCATATGCGTACCAAATACCCACAACTTTTCTCTTAAGGTACTCTCTTCTTAAATTTCGGGACGAAATTTCCTAAAGTAGGGGAGACTGTGATATCCGCCTAAAATGGATTCGGGTCAACCCAACCCAATTGGAAATTTAATAAACCCTACTCAAGATTACTTGACGCTAATAGGATCAAAACCCATACAATACGATATAACTTGACGTTAATAGCAACATAGTATTGTACAACGTTATAACTATAATCAAAGTAACTTATGATACCATATTAAAATCAAATCAAAGTATAATGCTCTAATTAAATTAAAAGAATCAAACTTGAATTTTCTAATTAAACTTCAAATCAAAGTAGATTGTTATAATCAAATAATAACCTATCTTTTATAAAACTCCATTTTTATAAACTTTACATTAAATTTTATAAAACTCTATTTTTATAAACTTTACTTTAAATTTTATAAAACTCATATATTAATTATGTAAAAGATGCTTGTGTTAGGGAAATTATGAAGACCACCAAAAGCAAAAAGATTATTCCCATGGTCTCCCACTCACACCTCCCATCCACTTTCCTTTCCTTTTTCTCCCAACACATTATTCTCTTCACCACTTAAATCTTCTCTATTCTTGCTCTCACTCTCAATCTCGAAATTTCCTCCAAGAATACCCATATTCCATCCAAGAACAATCTATTATACTCAAATCTTCATCCCTCTTGAAGCATTCATCAAGGTATGTTGTTAAAAGTTTCAAATTCCTACAAGAAACAAATTAAATCCACCAAAATATCTAAAACTCATTTTTTTCATAAACCTGATTTTCTCAGAATATCATCATAAAATAAGAAGTTCTGGAAATTTTCAGAAAATAACTTATTTTATTGAATTATCATAATTATTTCAATAAAGTAGGGCAATAATTCACATAAAATACTTGTTGCATTCAATAAATTCTGAGAAAATTCTGGGATGACTTGTATACTGATTAAACATGATATATGAAGTTTCATGCATTTATATTACTGTTTACTATTATTTATGATTTTATTGATTAATTAGTAATGAAAATATAAAAAATACTTCCCATAGTCACAAATATCTGAAACTTATACACTGGGCTCTACATCATGTTATAAAACTATGGTTAATTTTACAGATCTTTGAGAATCATTTACTATTTTTCCCGAATTTTGTGTTGTTTAATCATTAAAATATTAAATAAATACTAAAAAGTTCAGAAAAATATACAAATTTTACAGTAATTCATATGTATGAAATAATGATTTCCTAATAATTCATAATTTTTCAATACTATTTACTATTTAAAACTATTTTCCTAAGTATTTAAGCATGTAAAAATGCATTTTAATGATTATTTCATATAATAATTGTTAAAATCTGTAAATAATTATAATTGGGCAAGTTATTATTTTAATAAGAAATTATTAAAATCTGGCCTAAATTGAAAATATAAATTAATTATGCAAAGTAAGTAATTCAATTTAAAATTCATTTACAAATAAATACCTTAATATTATAATCAAAATGAATTATTGTTAATTCATCTAATATAAGAATACGTGTCTAATTATTTGTATTAATACTCCATTCTTGTTTAGCAGTTCCTAAACCAAAACTATTAATTATATTAGGTTCTACGCCATTTTGACTCGAATCGTCTATCGTACGACACACGCATTTCGTTTTGGGACTAAAGTGAGTAATCTACCCCATATTTTATAATTTTCAATACTTTTGGGGTGTATCATGTGGTTCTAATATGTTCCAACTTCATTTTATTGTTTTATCACAATTGAGACATTGTTGGGACATTTATACGTGACTTATTAATTGTAAACTATTGTTTGTTTACGCTACATGTACTGTAGTGCATTATCATTTTTAGTCTAATCTCCATGACTATGCCCCTATTCTTGAGGTACGTTATGGACAATAATAGCGCTATTGGGTTGACCACCCCGCCTTGGGACGCTAAGGTGATTGATCACACGTGGTTGAGTGTGTATGATGATTAGATGCTCCATCCTATATATATTTATATATATATATACATATGTGTATATATAGGGTGAGGACTTATTGTTGTTGTTATCAATTGTTAATCAATTTTTGATTTATAAACCGTTATCTCAAGTACAATTGTTTGGCGACTTCAAAAGAAAACATATTTCAAATTATAAATGTTTCAACTTCACAATTTTCTCTACTAAAATTTGATTACTCACCAACTCTCGTAGCTGACCTGTTTTTACCCATGATGCAGATTTGAAGAATGAAGAATGATGAAAAATAGGTTATGCCTTAGAAATCCACAAGACAATTTAAATTTGATGTAATAAATGTGGTTTACATTTGTATTTGTACTTGTATGTTGTGGATCTTGTTTGCATACTTAGTACTTAATTGAATCTAATCACATTATAACCTAGTTGTCATGAGACTTTGAACAATATATCACGCCTTGATCGATTCCGACAAGGATCAGGGTGTGACAGTCCATGTGCTTTCAAAACTTTTGACGATTGGTCCTTACTGCTAACTCCGTTAAGTTTTGTCCGTTAACTGAAGGACATTTTCGTCATGTCACTACCACAGGGACCATTTATGATGTTTTTTCTTGTATTTTTTTTTTAAAAAAGAAAAGTTAAATACAATTAAATATATAAAAGGTCTCTCTCTCTCTCTCTCTCTCTCTCTCTCTCTCTCTAAATCCCAAAATCAAAACCTGCAACTAGTTAATACCACAACTAAAAGTGAATGTGCGAGAAATTGAAAGGAAAAGAAATCACCATCGTCGACCCTAAATGGAAACTTGGAAGAATGTGGGTTATGTTGATGTAATAGCTGAACTTCACCGTCATCGGCCATAAATTGCAACTTAGATGAACGTGTGGGAAAAATCAAAATGAAAATAAACCAGATTACAGGTGCCTTGGTTGCAATATAACCCTGTCCCTCCTTATTTGTTTGGATTAAAAACCTTCAATTAAGTTGCAGGTTATCTCAGGCATTTCATCGAGCACTTCCAGTGCATTGTGAAAGGGTATTTCGGAGGCGAGACCTAGCACCCTCCTTTCTCTTTTGAATCTCTGTTATTGACTCCGATGGTTGCTCCGACTGGTGACCAACTGACGATGTCAACTTCCTTCCTTCTGACTTTTTTTTCTTCTTCCTTCTCGGTCTTTCTTCACCACACATACACACTCTCAACAGGCCTTAGTGGCACTATAACTCACCCTCAATGCTCATCTGTAAACCGTGTGGGTTGAACTGGAACGTTTCAACTGATGTTTGATCTGTAATCCCACTGGAAAAAGAGCTGAAACAACTACACAGTACAAACACTTCATCTTAGCCTATGGATCGTAACTTCTTCTTTTCGATTCTCTCGGTATTGAGGCTCAAAGGGGGTGGGGAGCAGCTCGTAACGGACAGAAAATAGTTTATTTAGCGTAGGGATCAATTGACATTCAAAGGAATCAAATTGTAGCCTTCTAAAATGGTGAATAATGCATACAGTCGTTAAATCGATCTACTAGGAAGAAGACAGTTGGGTTTGCAATCTTAACAGATTCGGTCCTTGCAGTTTGTTCTAATGACAGATCCTACCCAAAACTGAAATATTTCTTCAAAACTGATTTCTAGAAAACATCATAAATGGTCCCTGTGGTAGTGAAATGACGAAAATGCCCTTCAGTTAACAGACAAAACTTAACGGAGTTAGCAATAATAACCAATCGTCAAAAGTTTTGAAAGCACAGGGACCATCTATGACGTTTTTAAACCACGGTGACTAAATTTCAGATTTTGAGAAACCACATGGACCATTTATGATGTTTTTTCTATCAGGTATAAAACATGTGAATTATATATATTTTTTAAATCAAAACTAATTCATTAAACAAGAAAAACATATTGCAATTTTTGTTTGTCGTTTACTATTATCAAAACCCTAGAATACCCTCGCAATATCCCCGAATTAAAAAAACTTGACCAATATCTAAATTCTAAAACAAAAGCACCTGCCAAATAATCCAGCGACACACATCATATTATGGACGTGAATCGAAAGCACTAAAAAATAATCAAAAGAAAGAACAAATTTTTAAACGGAACACCTCCGCCGGACTTCGTAAAACGACCTTCACCACCTACACGCCGGCCATATTTTCCACACAAATTCTATCTATCTAGAAACCAAACGTGGATCTCAATTTTCTACCTACTATATTCATTGTTTTCGATAATCTTGAGGTTGAAAGGTCGAAGATTTCGGGGCCTTGCATTAAAAGATCGGAGGTTTGAGTCTATTAAAAGAAAATGGCCTCATCGGGGCCGGAGCCCACGATGAATAAAAGCTCCAGTAAGTCAAAGGTGATAAAATCGATCAGGAGTTGTTCTTTGTCGGGAATGAAAGTTTCTAAAGATAAATTGAGGCAGAAGATCAGGATGCCTGAGTATTTACGTCTTGCGATCAGTGACGCCATTAAGGCTAAAAACATCAATGCCGGAAAACACCATTTCGATGCTAACAAGCTCGCTGACTTTTCCGATGATGGTGGTGATAATCCTCCCCCCGTCGCCCCTGAATCGCCTTTGGTTGTTTTTGTTAATTCCAAGAGCGGTGGCCGCCATGGCTCTGATCTTTTATCCAAGTTGCCGGATCTCATGGGCGAAGAGCAGGTATTATTTATTTCTTCTTTATCATTGTTACATTTTCATATGCATGTTTTATGTTAATTTCTATGTTGGTTAACTATTTCATTTATTCGTCTCTATATACCATAAACAATCTGTACTTTTCAGTGTACAATGTTCTTAATATCAGTTTCGGGCATTATGCCATTCAACAGTTCTTTGATCTTCAACTGAGCATTGACACATTAATTACAAAAAAAAAAGAATTGAATTCAAGAAAATGGGGTATCACTTATGAGGGTTCTAAGCAATATGTTTATGGGGACTTTTGTACTTTGTCGTGCAAAATGTCAAACAAAAGACTAAATTTAAGAACAATGATGGTTGCTTTTGCATTTACATTTCCACACTTTGTACAAAAGCCCTGGATATTTAAAAGTATAATTTTTGTCTGACATTTTTTGCAAAATTAAACAATGTTAGTGCCCAAAGAGAAACCAAATATAATGTTCAAAAGTTAAACCATTGTTAATGTTAATGGGAAGTAACATGAAACAAATAATAGACTTGAAGAAACATTTACGTCTTTTGCACAAATAAGAGATTGAAAGCAAATTTGTGTCGCATTTGAATCCACATCTCTTGATGTGATAAAAAAAATTTGCAATTTTTATCTCATAGACATTGTCATGTCCACCTAGCAAATGGGACTTAATAGATCAAGATTGCTACTTGTTTTTCGGATGCAAGATTATAATTTTCAAGATTCTTTATCTTTATACAAAATTTCAGCTACTTAAAACTAGATTTTTGTGTTTTATCGGTGATAGGTTCTTGATCTTCAAAATATAAAACCTCATGAATTTGTTCAATACGGATTGGCTTGTTTGGAAAACTTTGCATCTCTTGGAGACACTTGTGCCAAAGAAACTCGTGAAAGATTAAGGATTGTGGTACATATCATCCTCATCAACCTTTTTCCATAATCTCAACTTACATTCTATACAAATATATATGCTCGTAATATCTTATAATTTGATAGGTAGCAGGAGGTGATGGGACAGTTGGTTGGGTCCTTGGGTGCCTCGGTGAGCTTCACAAACAGGGTCGTGATCCGGTCCCACCAACAGCAATTATTCCTCTTGGCACAGGAAACGACTTGTCTAGGAGTTTTGGATGGGTAATGTTTATCATGTTCTTAATGAACTAAATCCCAATTTTTTTTAACCCTCTTTGATTTCTTGAAATGTTGTTCAACTTATATATACAGGGTGGTTCGTTTCCTTTTAAATGGAAAACAGCCATAAAGAGGACCCTTGACAGGGCCCTTCATGCTCCACTTGGCTGTCTTGATAGGTGAGTTGTAATTAATAACTTATAAAGCTTAAATATATATATTGTCCATTGATTACTTTTACCATAATCTTTAACTGATAATTGAGATGTTATTGGAGTAGTCTATAAGAGTACGTATAACTGCTTTGAGTGATCATATATACGTGGATTGATTAATGTACATTGCGTTTGATGTTGATGTCATTTCAGTTGGGAGCTTTTAATATCAATGCCGGCTGGTGAAGAATTGGAAACCCCACACGCATTGAAAAAAACTGAAGTGGTCGCTCTTGATCAGGTTCGAAATCTAGCTAGTTGTGTGTGTGTGTGTTTGTATGTATGTATCCCTTACGTAAGAGTATAACTTTCATGGGTTTGTTTCCAGGATTTAGATATTGACGGGGAATTGCCTGAGAAAGTTTCTTGCTACCAAGGAGTCTTCTACAATTATTTTAGCATAGGTATTCTTTTTGTTTTGTTTTTAGCATCGAAAAAAATCCTTCAATATCATATAGAAACCAATTATTTTAGTATTTGGACTAAAAGAGATCTAAAATGGTCAAGTATTATGCATATTTTTCATGACTGTGATAGCACGGGGGTGAATTGGGCTCTTATAAGAGCTATATTTATATATATAAAATACAAGCAAAGAATTAAGTAACTAACTGATGACGTGGTATTCTAAATAATGATGTGACATTCAGTCCCATAAGTTAAGAACTAAATCTTTTACATCTTACGTGATGCCTACAGGAATGGACGCCCAAGTGGCTTACGGTTTCCATAATCTACGGAATGAGAAACCGTATCTTGCAAAAGGTCGTATTGCAAACAAGGTTGGAATTTAAGTTGGTTTCTTATACATTTCCATCCTTCATGAAGATATTTTCATTCCTCTCATATTTTTTTGATGAAATTTGAAGGATATAAATTAGAAGTTTAAAACTTCTATATTTGAAAACTTGTATATATATTAGATTTTCGAACTATCTTTCTTGTGACAGATAATTTACTCCGGATATAGTGCCAAACAAGGATGGTTTTTTCACGCCTTGTATGACCGACCCGAGCTTGAGGTAGTTTTGTAATATTAATTTAGTGATCTTACTTGATAAAATTTAAACCTAATTAAAAGACTAAAATGTGGGAACAATTGGTGAATTAAACGTTGTAAATTGTACTTTCTTTGTAAAAGAACAACTGGAAAATGCATATAGTTGCTTACTTTGGCAGGGGACTAAACAACATTTTAAGGATGCATATTAAAAGGTTAAACAGCCCAACATGGGAGCTGATTCCTCTTCCATCTAGGTAAAGTTATTTCATGGAAGCTCAAACGATCAATTATTTGAAGAAAAAAAAATGAACACCATGCACCACTTCCGATCTTTTTACTTATATATGACTTATGCGTCGACATATTTGAGCAGTATTAGGTCCATAGTCGCTTTGAATCTTCATAGCTATGCAAGTGGAAGGAATCCATGGGGTAACTTGAAGCCCGAGTATCTAGAAAAGGTAAATTCGTTGTTACTTCCCTAAATTTTAGCAATAGAAATAATGAGGGAACCTCATTTAGTGTTTGCATCTTTTTTGAATACAGAAAGGTTTTGTGGAGGCTAATTCAGACGATGGTCTATTGGAAATTTTCGGATTTAAACAAGGATGGCATGCATCATTCGTTATGGTCGACTTAATATCAGCAAAACACATTGCACAGGTAAAAAAACCGTTTTTCTAATCAAGAAACATTAGGGCGATCTTTTCTTTCATGGTTTCCACCTGCAACTTTTTGCTCAGGCAGCAGCAATTAGATTTGAGATAAGAGGTGGAATGTGGGAAGAAGGTTTTCATGCAGATGGATGGTGAACCATGGAAACAACCCATGGACACTGATTATTCAACATTTGTGGACATAAAAAGGGTTCCATTTCAGTCTATCATGATTAAAGGGGAGAATACTCGTTCTTGAGGCTCCGTTTGTTATGTAAAATAGGATAGGAAAATTTTATGTTGTACTATGTTCTAGAGTTTGAAACCAAGGCCATGGGACAAAAACTGCATTTTTTGTTCTAATCAAAAGGTTGGAACAAGATATGATACGGACTTGTTTTTGATATGTAACAAAGGGATGGATGTCCTCCTCATAATTCAAAAAAATAATAATGTTTGAGCTTTAATTAGTTTCAAACATAAATGACGACTAAATATGTGAAAGTTATTTCCCTAAAGATTGAAAGATGGTCATAGTAGCAAGCTCCTTTTCTTCTTTATCAAAACAAATATAATTTAATTTATAGTTTTTAAACATTAGAAATAAAGTTAATAAAAATTAGTATGTATAACTAAAATTATGTAAGCGACATGTATCTTGTATAAAACACAGTTAAAACGGTGAATTTTTGTTTTAATTTGAACAATACAAAAAATAACGTACGTTTCAGGTTTTAATATTTTTATAAACTACCTAAAATCTATAACATGGATACCAGAAGGTGTGAAAGTTTGGATTGAAGAAAACATATCCGCAACAAAAGGCTTTGATATTTTGACTCTTAGAGGATACGTTGTGGGCACATCTCGTGCTCGTTGTGGCTGAGGTGGACGATAAAAAAAAGGCGTTGCATCTCGTTGTACACCGCCCCCTTATCTCATTGCTTCTCGTCGAGGGGGCATATCGTTGTCGTTACAACCTACACCAACGAGTAAAAATTTGAATGTTGCCCCTCTTTTCTAGCCGTTGTCAACGGTCAAAACAATAAAAAAAAATTTAACTTTTTTACCTTTTATATAAATACTACCTCGATTTAACCAAAATTTTCACATCTTTCTCTCATTTCTTTCTATATTTTATAAACTTTCTCTCAACAAAAAAAAATGGATCAAAACCCAAACATCCCTCAATCGTCAAACTCAAACACACAACCAAATCAAAATTCGCCTATTGGATTTGCGGGTTACGAAAGTTATTTCAACCTTTTGTTGTCTCAAGCATCACCACAAATCCCGTACCAAGGAGCCGCTTTTAGTCCCGCTTCACCACCTATACAATTTCCTAGCTCACCATACGTTCAACAAAACCATTTTGGGCAAAACCCAAATTTACAACAAAATATTTTCACGACTTTCGCTTCGATGCCAACAACACAACCACCACCTCCAACACAACAAACGGTTGAAGTAGAAGCGGGAGGTAGTAGGAGAGGAAAATCGAAAGGGAGAGGGAAAAGAAAAGGGAAGGAAAAAACGGTCCCGATTGAACAGGAAAGCGGGGAAGTTCCACAATGGTGGACACCGGAGGAGGAGTGCGCGTTGACAGCGGCATGGTGTACTACTTCAAAAGACGGCAATCGGGGGAACGGTATGAAGAAAGGTGCTTATTGGGGGCGGTGCTCGAAAAATTTCACCTTTGATGAATAAACAACCATATCGCAACAACAACATGCTAATTAGCAATTTGAGTATGATAACTAAGCGGTGCACAAAATTCAACGGCATTTACAACCGGATTCAAGCGCAACAACAAAGCGGAACAAACGACTTCGATTTGTTCAAATCTGCAAAAGAACAATATCGGGTCGAAATGGGACACGTATTCGAGTTTGAGAAATGTTGGTAGTTATTGCAAGCGGATCCAAGGTGGACTCAAAATCCTCCATCATCGGAGCTTCATTCCAAAAGGTCGCGAAACTCGAGCTTGGTCGACGTATCGGACGCACGGACTCACATCGCCCTAAACGCCGACACCGATGACATCCCGGATGTTATCGAGGAGATATCACCACCACGACAACCGGTCGGACGTGACAAAGCGAAGCGAGCTGCAAGGCATGCGGAGGAGGTTGAGGGGAGAGCGAAAGATGCAGCGGATATCAACGCGAAATTCGATTAGCACAATAAGATACAAAGTGTCACAACTAGCATTTTAGCTAGGAAATTCTATTCTCATGTAAACATTCAACTATTGTAAGATATGTACTCTAAGTGATAATCATACTCTGTGCTCAATCAAGAACTATCTATTGAATCCAAACTCTTGAATTAAGTTCAAAACCTAATACAACACATCTCATATGGTTTGAAAACCCTAGAAATTCTAGCCTAAGTTAATATGGACTAGGATCCTCTTATTGGGCCTAATGGACCAATAAACTTTTCAATTTGACTATTTGGGTCAAGGAACCCTAATTGGGCTCTAATTGGACACACATTCATAAGATTTTAGCATTTGGGCCATGTGAGCCTAGAATAATGCATCTTATATCTAATGGGCCTTGTTGGGCCATAAATGATTTCATTTGCCCTAATGGGCCGTGAACCCTTGTAATTGGGCTTCATTGGGTCGTGAACCCTCATAAGGGCCCAATGGGCCGAAAAATATTATTGGGCTTCATAAAATTCGAACAAAGCCAAGAATGGGCCTAAAACTATTCTCACCTCTTTTAGCCCAAATTCTCGGCCCAATAGAAATATATATATATATATATATATATATATATATATATATATATATATATATTATATACACACACACACACACACACATATATATATATATATATATATATACACACACACACACACACATATATATATATATATATATATATATATTATATATATATATATATATATATGAGTAATAAAAAAAAAGGGATTTTTTTTGCACTTGACACCTCACTTTTGCATGGTGGATTTCCATGCACACATCACTTCAATCCTCTCTCCTTCTCTCTTCTTCTACTCTCGACCGAACCCCTCACCCCTCACCATATCCACTCTCCTTCAAAAATCTCTCAAGAACTCTCTCAATAACTCCTCTTTCCTCCTCTAAGTTTTCGAGATTTTGTGTGTATTTTCAAGAGGTTTTTCATCAAGATCATCATCCTTGGTAAGTTCTTACTTGAATCTATGGTTTAACTTTTAGATTTCATCAAAAATATTTTCTTAACACATATAATTTCATGGTCTATACTCTTGAACTTCATAGAGTTCGAAAACCATCTCAAGGAGCTTGCTAGGGTTGGGATCTTCTCACATCTTCACCAAAAACTGAATCCAAACCTCAAAGTGAGTTCATACCTCTTGATTTTCGGTTTTTCTATGTTTTGGGGGAGGATACAAGTTGCTATGTGCTAGATCTATGTATTTGTGCATGTTTATGTGTGTTTTCTAAGTTATATGTTGTGATTATGTGAAGAACTTAATAGATCTTGACAATATTCGGAAACTACAACACTTTATACAACTTACCATAAGATAAAAGTGCTAAACAAGTTAAGAATGTTGAAAAACTAAACAAAATCTTGAAAAAGGTCCATTTTTGACAAGGAAACATAAAGATGAAGCCTTTTATGATATTCACGGTTTCTCAAGGACCAAAAGAGTCATTTTTGTATAAAAATGGGTTTTTATGACATTATGGTTTTAAAAAGGGCCAAAAGTGTTAAATTTTGTATAATGGGCCTTCACGGTTTCTTTGGGCTTAAATTTGTAAATTTATGGTTTTTATGGAAAATTGTCATTTTACACAAATTTGGGCCAAAAATGAAATTTTAGGTTTTTATGGGCTGAAATTGTCACTTTATTTGAATTTGGGCCTAAAATGTTATTTTCACAAAAATTGGGCCGAAAATGTCATTTTTATCAATAATGGGCCGAAAATGTCAATTTTCATGATATTGAGTCGAAAATGCTATTTTTAACAATAGTGGGCTAAAAAATGTCATTTTATTTGAAATAAGCCCACAAATGTAAACTTTTGGTATTAAGGGACCAAAAATGTCAATTTTATCAAAAGTATGCCTAAATTGTAAATTTTAGGCTTAATGGGCCAAAACTATCATCATTTCACAAAGTGGACTTTTTATGCTATTTTAGGAAACAATCAAGCTTAAACAAATAACGTAACAACAAACGAAATAAATTCATCGATTACATGTTTATAGGGCCTAATACTATTATAATTCATGCTATTGGGCCTTAGTGGTCCATTTACATGTTTATTGGGCCTTAGTGGTCTATTTACATGCTTATTGGGCCTGAATTATACATTACATGTTTATTGGGTCTTAGTGGTCAATTTACATGCTTATTGGGCTGAATTATACATTACATGTTTATTGGGCCTTAGTGGTCCATTTACATGCTTATTGGGCCCGAACTATACATTACATGTTTATTGGGCCTTGGTGGTCCATTTACATGCTTATTGGGCCTGAACTATACATTACATGTTTATTGGGCCCTAGTGGTCCTTCTACAGGTTTGTTGGGCCTCGTACATTCATATACATACTCGTTGGACTTTTCAAACGTAAAAACGTACACGGAAACATTAGATATAACATAATAAGATATTCGCGTAAACACAGTTAAGGATGCTAGTGAGACATGGGTTGACACCTCTCGAGTGTACAATCGTAGCCTGTAGTTATAACCAGAGTCTCCTGGAGGGAGAGCGAGAGTTTGTCTATAGATCTATACGGGGTGACACCCCATACCTGAGCTGTTCGCTACAGCTAGACTAGGCCAGTCTAGGGTGACAAATCTTACCTTAATCAAGTCGGCGCCTGAAAGCGCCATGACAAGCGAATTCGTCATAATCAAGTATGGTTAAAACGGCTCACTTAGAGATCCTCTCCTACATAATTTTATGAAACATTTATAAAATCTTGTTGATACGAATACATACATACACGGGTATTCGGTCTTAGGGTTGAGACCACAACACTTTTATAAGTAGAAAATGTAGGATTTTCTGGGGAGATACACAGCTAAACAATACCTTTTACTTACTACAGAAAATACAGTATTTTTATTTAGATTACATTTTATATACATTACAAAAACAGAAAACACACATGCATTAATACTTGATTTTGACACATCACGTTCAAACTATTTTTCAGAAAAAATCAGATTTTCTGGTGTTTTATTAACATTACAAAACTTTTCATTCAAACATGCTTATGAACTCACCAACATTATATATGTTGACGTTTTCAAAATAACTTGTATTCTCAGGGAATCGTTAAACGGAAAGGTCAGCAAGAAGTGTGGAATTTGTTATATTTTGTTATCATCATACATTGAATATTTTGGATATGTAATTTATGATACTGTACTTGATGTAAACAATGCTAGTTGTATTTTGATATTTATGATGATGGTGTTGTCTTACTTAAGTTATATACATTGTGATGATATTACAAGATGAAGTCATGCACAAGCCCCCAGACGTTTTCCGCCGTCTGCACTACTAGAAAAAAGGCCTTTAATGACACGCAATTTATGACGCACACGAATTTACGATACGCAAAAGTGTGTGACGTAAAAATAATGTCATCTCTCCAAAATTTTGAAGGATTTATGACGCGAATTTTTGCGTGCCCTATAATTTGTGTCAGAAAAAAATAAAAATAAAAACACGTAGGGCACCCATCATAAAATGCGTGTCGTGTAAGTATGTCGCTTTATAATTCTTGAACGCGCCTACGGACTATTTATTTTATCAAAAAAATCGAAGGGATCATTCTAGGGTTCTTTTCAAGATGGGAGTGCTCTCTGCAACGTTTGCTACCTTGGCTCACCTCATCTACCAACGATCTCGACTCATCTCTTTTAGCCGGCGAGCTTGGGCTAATCTTACCTCGACGGAGACCGCCACAGATTCTCAAGTTTACAAGCCCTAGGTCTGGTTTAACGACCATCAGATCTTCTTTGTGATCTGTCTCGCACAACAAGCCTCCCTCTCAATAACATCGTCTTCCTTGTGTTGATCAGAAGTCGCAGGGCTTGATTCCGAGAGTTCAACGACCATTAGATCTTATTTCACCGCTCTCTCTGCGCTTTCTGTAAATTCCTCTCTGAATCCTCTCTTTGATGTCGATATCTCTATCTAGCCGAGAGAACAAAAGAGAAACATAACTGTTTTTTTGTTTCTCCTTATCCGAAAACACACACAAACACACTTTCTGTGTGCTTTCTCTTTCCTCATTCCTCAGCCCTGATTTCGACTCGGAATCCTACATCTCCGATCTACGAACCTTTGACCCCTTTGAAACCCTAAGATCGGAGCTGCAGTCTCATCTTTCATCCCTTAAACATGAACTAGTAGAGCTAATTAACCGAGAAGAAGCGACTTTGAAGGTCCCATTGAAAGATCCTAAGAAGAAAGATGATAAGAAAGATGAAGATCTTGTAAGTGCTCAATTATTTTATCCATCTATTTATGTATTGAAAATTTCTTATTCTTTTCTTTTAATTGTTATAGTCGGAGGAGGATTTGGCGTTGATGCAGCAATTAGAGATGTATGTTGAGAGGGTTCAGGATGCGGATCAAGGGTTACAGAAGGTTGCTCTCGAGAGCATGAGGTACTAATATTTTGTATCTATGATGCTTTTTTTTTGTTTTTTCTTCTTTAATTAAAAGGGCGCACTTCGTGGATTGTTTATTTGCTAGCATTGTCGGTTCAGATTTGTTGAGATCTGTTCTGAATTCCCAGTGGAGCTGAATGATGAGGCGTTTCATACATCATTTTTTTCTGTTCTTTTCATGCATAGTTTGATCTAATCTCAGCAAACTGTTCCAGTGTTATTGATGTAATGATGCCTGAATGGCTTATTATTTGTTCAGACTGGATGTTTTGTAAGTAGGTTCTAGAAGTGTTGGTGGACAGATTCTCTTTTGTTTGAGTTAGGTTAACCGAGTGGCAATCAGACCGTTGTAATTGTAGAAATGTTACTAATGATCTTTTCATAGGTTCTGGAAGGTTTGTAATTGTGGGTCATAATCTTTTATAAGATGTGAGAGTTTGTTGAAGTGCATCATGTTGCAATACACAGTTCTGGGAATGGAGTTGGAGAAAACTCTTTCATTTATGTTCAATGGTTTGGGATATTGGCTCTATAAATGTTACATGAAGGGACTCCTTCATTCTTCTTATCTAGATTGTTCCATTTAAATTTTGATTGAAGAGGGATTCTTGAGTGTAGATGTGGGCATGTTTTTGCAATTCTTTATTTTCTTGTTCCTTGAAGTGGTTTTATGCATGCTTTAGTGATATAAGTTTTTTTGCAAATTGCAGCACAAGTTGTCACTTAGACTAACAGTATTTATTATTTGGTTGTAGGCAAGAAATTCGGACATCAACCAGCTCTATGACTTCAGTCCCAAAGCCACTGAAGTTTTTACGCCCACAAGTTCAGCAAGGTAAACTAGCAAGTTTAAATGAGTCATTTTCTGCTGTCTATTTGTGGTTTAAAACTTAAACTGGTGAGAGCATTCTTGTTTATGTTTTCATGCGATTCTTGTATGTTATGTACTTGTTAATCTTGAATCCTATTATGCAATTATTATATGTGTTAATTAAATGCTTTTGTAGATACCTCCGTGGACCAGATGACATGTCAGTTTTGGACAACATGCAGGTTTGCATTGCATGGTCATTAGAAAGTGTTTTTTTTTTGTTGCTATAAATATAATCTGAGATGTTACCTAGTGATGTTAACTGATGAATTATTTATTATCTTCCCGTTTTTGATAAAGTGTTGTGGTTTTATCATTTGGATCCCCACTATCAGGTGCTGTATGCAATATAACCCATTTTTTGTGTGATAAATCTTTTTTAATAATTTCATTTGCGCTTGTTTAGAAATAAACCTAGAAAATTGATGTTTCATTATACTTATTTTTTTTGTAATTAAAGTTCATTAATCATAAAATTGCATGTATCCTATAGGCCAACCATACAGATACAGATACAGGGTCATGGAATGTAATAATCTTGCCTTTTCAATATCTTCACCATTCCATTCCATCCAACCAAACACTTATGCATTAAAGTTAGGGTATATGAAACTTGGATGATGTCTAGATTTAAATCATCTTGCTAGGAAAATTCATAAATTTCTACTATTAAACATTAATTAATAATATGTAGATAAAGATAAAAAATTATTTGTGCTTGTTGTATATTTTTGGACTAATTCCATCTGATTTTATGGTTTCTGGATGTTTTTGGCAGCATGTGAAGCCGGCTTTCACATCTTGTCCTGATCTTTTGTGGAAGAAGCAGTTTTGTTACTGCTGAATTTCATTCATGAGACTTACATTTTGTCAGTAGTAGCTCAACTTTATTTTATTTATTTATTATTATTTTTTTTAATCTCAGACCATATATTCTTTAGTGGATTAAACTCTCTAGAATTGTAAAGGGTATATTCCACATACCCATAATCATCCCCATGGCCAACAAGGCGTAGATAAATCACAATGTTCATAGACAAAGCAAGGAAGGTGATGCCCATGCTTGAACCTAAGACCGCTCTTATGATTTTTCAGTTCTCACATTCTTACTCAATGAAATTGTAAAAAAAAACCTTGTAAAGAGTGATCTTAGATGAATAAGAACGCAGGAAGATGTTATTGCAAGGTTGGTAATCTGTAAGAGAGGTTTGAGGTTCAAGCATGGGCATCACCTTCCTTGCCTTGTAGTTGTAGGACACCCTTTTTTAATCTTTTGAATAGAGTTATTACTGTGGCTGAGGTCCTTCCTTTATGAGAGGGAAGGAAATAGATAAGTAATATGATGAAAAAGCTTTAGTGCTTTCTCTAGGATGGATTTTACCTGCGACTGCAGATTTTCCAAATCTGCCCCTTTCCCATGAAGCATGCAGATTCTTGGTCCTCCTGCTTTGGTCTTGGTGGTTCCTGAGATGAAGGAAGCAGCCTGCTTAATAAACTTAAAAAGAATATTGTTTTGTTTGGTACCAGAATCAGATTGCTTCTTTCAATTGAGTAAGCATCTTGAATTGAAGCTGTCAGCAGTGAACATTTCAATCTGTGTTGTGTTGACTTGAAGAGTGATCTGTTAAGAAAACGAACTATTTTTCAATGGGAAAGTCTCAGAGTCCTTCCGCCTCTTGGATGCTTTTGTTTCTGACTTTTCCTCCTTCATCTGCAGCTGTTGAAGAAGAGCAGTGGGTGATGCATGTCTGCAGAAATCAGTATCATCTTCCTTTCACTTTCCTAATTCCATAACAGTTTTTAAATCACCATTAAAAATAAAATACACAAGATAAAGCTAGAGATGGACAGATTATAGGGTAGGTACTCTTTGTGCATTCTGTATCCCAGAATCAGTCACCCATGTGAGGAGCAGGAGCTCTGTTGCTCAACTCAACCTATCTGCCAACTTGTGCAGTATAGTTGGGTAATATTAGAAGCCTTGAAATGCTTGCTTATGACTTCATCTGATACTCTCTCAGAAATCAGTATTGACCACATAAAGCAGCCATAAGTCGCTCTATTAGTAACCCTATTAGAGGTGATTTAGAGAATAATGATTCTCGTGAGTGAAGTATGAGAATGATAGGATGGAATGGAAGAATACTGATGAAACCTAAAATTCTACAATCATATTTCCTATTTTTTAACTTAATTCTCATAGTGAGTATATCTTAATCTTACTTAGAGTTAGAGGGGTTGGTATGATTTCGTAGGAAGGCTCCAGACATGACATGTTGCTTGAGAAGCTTATATATGATGTATGCAACTACTACCCTACCCTTGCAGAAAGGTTAAAGGTATTTCACTAGTAATCCAAACTAGAGGGGTGCATCATGCATGTGCATTCCACCTACCATATCTATCTATTTAGATGTGTAGTAACATTCACACTGCATCTTTTATATGCTGTGCTGTTCATCATTTCAATGCAGGCTTTCGCAAGATCTAAAAAGTGTTATATAGCCTTTATCCTCAGCTGTCTTGTTTGAGAGAAAGCATGCTCAGGCTTTGGGTTCAGGGAGGAGATTGTATATTTACTTATTTAACGGTGAAACTCATTATTCTTTTTTACAATGATATCTTTGCATTACTACAATTCCAACTCCACTTGTTAACTATATATGTTTATATTTGTACTTGACAGAGAGGTACTAGGAAGCTTCATGAACAAACAGAAGAAGTTCAATCTTTGCAGGGGTATAGTAAACAGGAAATATCTGAGCTCACAGAGCAGATGCGTAAATCATATGAAGAGCAGCTTAAGCGAATCACTGAAATGGTATTCTTACTGCTAATTCATGTTTGATATTAATTTGAAATTGTAAATGGTGTTCTTATTTCTTTAAAGTTTTAGTCGAGGCTGAAGGAAACAACTTCCAGACTTGAACAACAATTGGCAGAAGAACAGGTTGCAAGGTTGAAGGTTGAAGAGTTGGCTTCTGCTGGTCAAATGAAATCAAATGATAAAATTCTTACTTTGGTGTTTTGGACATTTTTTAATCTAATTCTTTATAAGGGACCTAATAAAATGTGTTTACTTTGTTTCAGATTATTTTAGGGTTTGTAGAAATCAAGAGCTTACCAGAGACAGAAAAGGGAAAACTGAATGTGATGTTTAGTAAATCACAATCATAGTCAGATGGAATCTTCAACATTAAAAAAAAACTCACAATCCAATCTGAATCTAGTCAAAAACAGGTTGCCATATTTCAATGTGAACCAAATGGATATTTATTGTTTGAACTTGTGTCCACATCACAATCCCTCCCTGAAACAAACCTCAACAAGATGAAGATTGGAAGCACGACCGAGGACAATTGGCGTGTCTCATGCTTTTCTCAAAAGCTTCGTTAATGCTCACAACCTGTTGAAGGAAATAGCAATGTACTATGTTAATCAATTTTTATAGCATGCTCATAACCTATTCAAAGTGGAATTCCTTTAAAAAAATCTTGATGTCTGGACCTTAAATAAAAAAATCGAGAAGAAACTACCTAAGATGTTGACTGTAGATTTACTTGGTGCATATGATTGTTAATTATATATTCCTTAAATTGTTTTTTTGCTATATTTCTTTTTACAGGATTGGTATGTTTTTATCTAACAATTTAAGGGTATATTTTGTATTTTGTGGTTGTGTATAGGTATGGAGAATGCCAAAATTGTGGGTTGGAAATGCATTTCACAAACACAACCACATTCTTTTCGTGTTTTATTAAAAGTAAGTATGTCCCCTTGTTCACTTTCACTTTCATATTTTGTATTTGATTCTTTTTGGTTTATATTAAGTTAACTGAAGCAATATAATATAATAGAATAGAAAGTGTTGCTTTTTTTTGGGGGAAAGCAGCACTATTTCATATTAACTTTTATAATCTACATGTGTATTAAATTTTAATATTTTATATAGGTATGGGTTGTATTGAAGCTTGGATTCTTGGAAAAAGGTACGTTACTACATGTGTATTAAATTTTAATATTTTATAACATAGATTGATGAAACTTGAAGCCTTTCTAAATACTAATGTGTTGATGATGAAAACATGTATCATGTGGAAACAGAAGCATAACAATAAGTAGAAACAAGAAGGTGTTCCTTAATAGCAATGTAGTATTACGTTATATAGTTAAGGAAAACCTTTTAATAACAATGTACAATCGGATCCCCTTAATACCAATGTATTACAATTTTTTGACATGATGTTATGGATGAAATTGATTGTTTTGGAATATATTTGCTTCCATATTTTTGTATTATGCGTAAATGAGTATCGTAAAGACGCGTCGTAAATGTATATCGTAAATGGTTGATGAAGTTTATGACACGCAAATGTGTGTCATCTTCATTTATGACAGGGGCTTTAATGATACACAATGCGTGTCCTAAACGTGCGTCGTAAGGTTACGACACGCAAATGCGTGTCGTCTCCCTTTATGACAGGTGCTTCCTTGATACGCATTGCGCGTCGTAAATGTGCGTCGTAAATGCGTGTCGTCTATAGACAACGCGCAAAAGCGTATCGTCTCTCGTTATGACAGGGCCTTCCTTGACACGCATTTGCGCGTCGTCTGAGCGTTTTACGACACGCATTGCGCGTCGTAAAAGGCTGTTTTTCTAGTAGTGCTGGTTCGGGGGTGTGACACAAAGACACAAAATTGAGTTGAAAGAACGACACTTGGACTACCTTGAAAGGAATGTGCGGGAGATGCAGGAGCAAAAAGAGATGGAACTAATGATAAACCAGTTGTCGATTCTTCGGACTAGCGATGAGGGTTTGGGGCCGGCAGATCTAACGGTTCTACAAGCGATGAAGGATCAAATTAGGCAGAAATATTTGTGTAAGGATTAGTAGTATTGTTGTGTGGTTTTAGAAGTAATTTGAATGATATTTTAGTTATGCTTTTAGGTTTAAAATTATGTTTTTTTAATCGTAATCGTAATTTTAGATTTTAAATATTATGTCTTTTTTTTTAAAATTTTATGTTTTATAAAAATGTATTCATTTTAGTGATTAAATAAACGTAAAAAGGAAAACAAAAAAATAAAAATAAAAAAAAAAAAACAAAAAAGGAAAAAAAACCAAATTCGAAAAATAAAATAAAAAATAAAACATGTTTATTCTCAAAAAGTTGGTATTATAACAAGGAAACCATTTCCTCACTTGGTGTTATAACATCATTTGCTTATGTGGCATGTGAGGTGACACAATTTGGTGTTGCATTTTGTTACCCACACCCAATGCTCTTAGGGCCCACAATTGTAGAATTTTTTTATTTAATTTCTTTCGTCTTTTTTTTTAAACCGGCAAATATAATTACATTTTCTATTCCTAAATTACGCCTTAATTTCAACTATGTTTATAGGAGGACTTGAACCATTAATCTCAAAGAGGAGGTCATCATACCGCTAAGACAAAAGTCTTTTGATAATTTCTTTGGTAATATTAAATTGTCAACCTATAGCTTAAATGATAATGGTAAAGTTTTTCTTTATCAGGCTATTTACCACACACATTACTTGTAAATTTATTACTATATGTAACATAAATTGATTGTTACCATATTTAATAGATGTATATGAGTATTAAGTTGATCGGCACCCTTTTAATATCATATATTTAATTTTAATAAAAGAAGTTTTTAAGGGTTATAATCAACATGGTTGATTAAAATCAAAATGATTTAATAAATATTTGTAAAATAATGGCCAAATTCCAATTTAAATACATAAAGTATAAAATACATTAGTTTTCAATTCTTTTTAGAGTAAAATACACGAATGGTCCCTATGGTTTGGGGTAATTTGCGCGTTTGGTCCCTAAATTATTTTTTTAACTTGAAAGGTCCCTACTGTTTGTTTTTGTTACGCACTTGGTCCTTACTTTTTGTTTTTGTTACGCGTTTGGTCACTGTCTTACCTAAAAAGACTTTTATTTTAATAGGGAAAAATGGTGGATAGGTAAGATAATGTAAGGTGGTGGGGTTGGGGTGTGTTTATTTAAATAAAGTAAAAAATCAAGGGAAAAATAGTATTTTTAGGTAAGACAGGACCAAGTGCGTAACAAAAACAAACAGTAGGGACCTTCTGAGTTAAAAAAATAAATTAAGGACCAAACGTGTAAATTATCCTAAACCATAGGGACCATTCGTGTAATTTACTCTTCTTTTTAATAACTAGGAAAAGGCCCGTGCGTTGCACGAGTGAAAGTTTAGTGGCAAAAATATAAAGAAGTAAAAATAAAGTGTCAAAATTATAAAGATGAAAAGTTTGTTGAAACTTTAATAGCAAAATTAGTAAAAATAAAGTACCAAAACTATAAAGAAGAAGGGTTTGTTGAAATTTTAGTGGCAAAATTATAAAAAAGTAAAAATAAAGTGGTAAAATTATAAAAGAATAAAGAAAAAGGGTTTTAAATAAGTAAAAGTGAATGTTTAGTGGCAAAAATATGAAAAGTAAAAATAAAGGGACAAAATTATAGAAAGGAAAATTTTGTTGAAACTTTAGTGGCAAAATTAAGAAAAAATAAAAATATAGTGTTAAAATTAGAAATAT